CGAGAGCACGGAGAGGGTGCTCTGGCTGCTCGCAGAGCAAGGGCGAGGGAACCTCTGTTTCCGGCGGAAATGAGGCCTTCGCGACTCGCACTCCTATCCTCTACCCCTTTTGCCGCCTCCCGAATACCGTTTCGAGCCCCCTTCAACCCGCCTGTGGCCATTCGCCTAACCGAATCCTCTATCGTTCCCCATCGCAAGGCGCGAGGTACCGCAAATCGTATTTATATTCCATCTCTCATAGCCAGGTAAACATTTTTTAATGGACCGGTAATAAACGGTTACGCGCGTCGCAGTTTGTTTCCTAGGAACCATTCGACATCCGTTTGGGCACGCTGGATTAACCCTTTTAGTGGTGAAGAACGATATGTCGCTGTTGGCTGCACCTGAGAAAATATTGTTTTCTTAACGTTTTGGATAAGCAACAGCTTTCTTGTATTTCTTACCGATTTTAACGACGCATCTTACCGATTTTAATTCTTCTCGCTTATTTTATGCACTCTGCTTGGGATTGTTGGTAGATTTTGTTCCATAGGTATTTCTAGAATTTTATTGTTTGTCACGTGGTGCTTTGATGTTAAGGCTGCATCTGGTTTTACGTTGCGTCGTCGTCTCTGTTGTTCGATTCTTCTGCATATACAGTTCATTCATTCGTTACCTTGATTTGTTAACGCATCTGAAGAAATTTGTAAAATTAGACTTTCTAATTATGGAGCTAATGATTTATATTAAATCGAAAGTTTCTCGTATTTTGACGTTTACATACTTTACTTTGATATACTTTAATATACTGTAAAGGATTTTCTTCCTTAAATGCATATTTTTATTTAAATATACGGCGTAGAAATCGAAGTTATACTAGCGATCGAATACTTTTGTTACACACTGTAGAATGTGATCCGTTGTTGATGTTTTGTTTTTGCAGCGGATAGAACACTTTCGCATGCAAGTCATTACTAACCATGAGCAACTGAATAACAGTTTTATTTCTCATTTCTTCTCGAACTTTCTAATTATTATATTTTAGAATATTATTATAATATCTTTCAGGAACTTTGCCATACTATATGATACATTTTGCTGAAGGACACATCACATTGTTCGGTACTGTAACGTACGGTGAATTTCTCCGACGTGTTTTTTCTTACTCCTTCCTGAAAACGTTCGCCACGCCCCCTGCCAGTGGGTTTGCTGTGTATATCGTGAGTCAAGTACCTTCGGAGGGCTACGATGACGAAACTTCTGGAACCAGGGCGCATATGGACATTCCCACTACCGTTTATCAGGGATATTTTGGGTATAAAGGGCCCAAAATGCGACTAAAAAACGAGCCTAGTTTCAAGTCAGTTACCGACGAAGGAACGGTAGCGAGATCGAGTCTGATTCTCTTTCGAGCATTTCAAGCGAGTAACGTACGTCGTTGCAAGGTTATAAGCCCCCGTCTACTCGGTGCGAGAAACGGAGAGCGCGATCTAGAATCCGCGATGCACTCATACACATACAATTGTATCAGACTGAAAACTTATAATAATTTAATATTAAATTTAGAAACTTATAATAATCTTTTCCCAGTTTATCAAATTGTCAAAATTCAATTATTCCATTTCTCGATTCGAAGCAGTACATAGTTGTTACCCATATAACCTTCATCGCTCGCAGTATATATATCTTCATTTCTTTTTTAAACCTCCGTCTATTAGATGCGAGAAACGGAGAGCGCGATCTAGAATCCGCGATGCACTCATACACATACAATTGTATCAGACTGAAAACTTATAATAATTTAATATTAAATTTAGAAACTTATAATAATCTTTTCCCAGTTTATCAAATTGTCAAAATTCAGTTATTGCATTTCTCGATTCGAAGCAGTACATAGTTGTTACCCACATAACCTTCATCGCTCGCAGTATATCTTCATTTTTTTTGTAAGCCCCCGTCTACTCAGTGCGAGAAACAGAGCGCAATCTACAGGGTGTCCCGAAAATGTCTCGCAATCCGGAAATGGGAGGTTCCTGAGGTAATTTGAAACATCTTATTCCTTTGCAAAAATTTTCTCCGAGGCTTCGTTTACGAGTTATTAACGAAAAACACTGACCAATAAGAGGCGAGCTCGGCTGGCGTGCGGCGGCCCAGCCAACGAGTGCACGGAGCCCAGTTCCGCTCATTGGTTCGGCCGTCTCACGCCAAACAATCTCACCTCTGATTGGTCTCTGTTTTTCGTTAATAACTCGTAAACGAAGCAGCGGATTGCATTTTCGCTACGGAAAAAGTTGCTTCAAATCACCTCAGGAATACCCTACTTTCGGATTGCGAGACATTCTTGGGACACCTTGTAGAATCCGCGATACACTCATACACATACAATTGTATCAGACTGGAAACTTACAATAATTTAATATTAAATTTAGAAACTTATAATAATCTTTTACCAGTTTATCGAATTGTCAAAATTCAATTATTCCATTTCCTGATTCGAAGCAGTATATAGTTGTTACAAACCCACATATCCTTCACCGCTCGAAGTATATCTTCATTTCTTTCTTTGTAAAAGTTACGAGATAACCAAACTCTAAATCTCTATCCTACCATACCTACCGATGCCCCGATGATGAAATAGACATCGGCTAGTTCACGGAACCCCTACCCTTATAACGGTGCCCCGTTGATGAATTAGACATCGACTATTCTACGATTAGTCCCCCAATAACGATACCCCGTTGATGAATTAGACAGCGACTAGTTCACGAAATTTCCAATCCTTATAGTGGCGCTCCGGTCATTAAAAATAGACAATCGGCTAATTCACGAAAAACTATCCTACCCAGTGACGCACCGGTAATAAAATAAACATCGGCTAGTTCACGAAAACCTATCCTTTCTAGTGGTGTCCCGGGGATGAGATAGACATCGGCTAGTCCGCGCAATACCCTTATAAAAATTTGCAAAATCGAACCTCCGGCCACGCAAAGCTTCCCTCGCCTCATAACAGCACTAAGAAGGTTAGGCGCTGACACCTGCGCGATTAAATCAGCGCGTCCATTCCGGATGTTTAAATTATAAATATTTATATATACAAGGTGTCCCAAAAATGTCTCGCAATCCGGAAATGGCGGGTTCCTCGGATCATTCGAAGCAACTTCTTCCTTTGCAAAAATGTTCTCCGAGGCACCGTTAACGAGTTATTAACGAGAAACCTGTCTCTTATACACATCTAGATGTGTATAAGAGACAGTATATATACAAGGTGCCCCAAAAATGTCTCGCAATCCGGAAATGGCGGGTTCCTCGGATCATTCGAAGCAACTTCTTCCTTTGCAAAAATGTTCTCCGAGGCACCGTTAACGAGTTATTAACGAGAAACCTGTCTCTTATACACATCTAGATGTGTATAAGAGACAGTATATATACAAGGTGCCCCAAAAATGTCTCGCAATCCGGAAATGGCGGGTTCCTCGGATCATTCGAAGCAACTTCTTCCTTTGCAAAAATGTTCTCCGAGGCACCGTTAACGAGTTATTAACGAGAAACCTGTCTCTTATACACATCTAGATGTGTATAAGAGACAGTATATATACAAGGTGCCCCAAAAATGTCTCGCAATCCGGAAATGGCGGGTTCCTCGGATCATTCGAAGCAACTTCTTCCTTTGCAAAAATGTTCTCCGAGGCACCGTTAACGAGTTATTAACGAGAAACCTGTCTCTTATACACATCTAGATGTGTATAAGAGACAGTATATATACAAGGTGCCCCAAAAATGTCTCGCAATCCGGAAATGGCGGGTTCCTCGGATCATTCGAAGCAACTTCTTCCTTTGCAAAAATGTTCTCCGAGGCACCGTTAACGAGTTATTAACGAGAAACCTGTCTCTTATACACATCTAGATGTGTATAAGAGACAGTATATATACAAGGTGCCCCAAAAATGTCTCGCAATCCGGAAATGGCGGGTTCCTCGGATCATTCGAAGCAACTTCTTCCTTTGCAAAAATGTTCTCCGAGGCACCGTTAACGAGTTATTAACGAGAAACCTGTCTCTTATACACATCTAGATGTGTATAAGAGACAGTATATATACAAGGTGCCCCAAAAATGTCTCGCAATCCGGAAATGGCGGGTTCCTCGGATCATTCGAAGCAACTTCTTCCTTTGCAAAAATGTTCTCCGAGGCACCGTTAACGAGTTATTAACGAGAAACCTGTCTCTTATACACATCTAGATGTGTATAAGAGACAGGTTTCTCGTTAATAACTCGTTAACGGTGCCTCGGAGAAAATTCTTGCAAAGGAAAAAGTTGCTTCAAACAACCCGCGGAACCCGCCACTTTCGGATTGCGAGACATTTTTGGGGCACCTTGTATATATATATTCAAGTTCGAGGATGGCACGCGCGATTGAATATTGTCGAAGGGAGACCGTCGAAGCCAGTTACACCCGCGTCGTCGTCGTCGTTCGTTTATTGTGATTTATTGGAGCGCGTCGCAGCTCGCTCCGGAATCAAAGTTTAAACGAATCTCATTTCTATAATACCATGTTTTCTTTCACGGTGAGCGGAGTATAATAAAAAAAAGAAAAAAAGAGCGGGAGGGGCAGAGAGCACGAGAACGAGACGAGGGAAAATCAGAGCCAGAAAGGCTTGCTAATACACTCCGCCAACCCTTCGCAGGCCGAGCCTCGTTCTCCCTCTCTCTCTCTATTTCCCCGCGTGAATGTCGCTCGCAACGGCGAGAATGTAATTTTCGCTGTATGCCTGGATTAGAAGCCGGCTCGTCGTTCTCCCGGGCTCCGGTCGCTTGATAAGTATTGGCTCCGTATCTGTTGAATGTGCTAGAACTGGAAAAGGGATCCCGGGATGATCTCAAAGCGATCGATTGGCCTCGGCGTGACGTCACGGGTCACGGCGGTTCTAATGTCTCTCGTTAAGAATCCACGCACCCGTTTTATGGGGCGCGGATTAATGATAAGAGCACGAGGGTAGGGAAAACCGTGCGGTGCTCGCCGCTACGTAAAAGCTATTATTAGGGGGAAACCTGTCGCAGCTACTTCAGTGAGATTGATTTTACTTTAACGCGTCGGCCACCGGATGAAAAATACGAAAGTTTAGCTCTGCCCGACTTTCGGGGAGACCCGAATCTTTCGACAGCCAGTGAGAGACGATTTAATATTCGGCCTCTCTCGGGCCGATCGATCGGAGCTACCTATTCAGAAATATTGTTGGATGTTCTATTATACGTATTGTATTATACATTTCGAGGATGCCCGTTTCAAGAATAAAAATTGCTGATGGAAAGAGTAGATTACGGGGCCTCGACGGTGTCGGGAACAGTGAGGACAAAACTTTCGCGGGATGGTATTTCTTAAAATCAGGTAAGAGGATCATTGGGAGATTCGGGTAGAAAAAGCCTCGCTGAAACGCATCGATGCGGAGTAATACTTTTTTTTTTCTCTTTCAGGGCGAACTAATATTGTAAAATATTTTATCGTTGGGGGGGGGTGGCTTCGGTTTTTAATAATAAATCGTTGCTAAATAGAGTTGGTTCTCGCGTTGTGAAAGAAGTAGCATTTTATAGGAGGATGTGTAGAGAGATCAATAGAAGCTTCATATTTGTTTCATATTATTTATTTATTGGAGCACGATATTCGACGACTATATGTTATATAATGCGGTAACCAATATAATCAGGGAGATTCGGAAATTTGTAGGTTTTTTTTAATACTTGCCGTTTTTCAACTTATTAAGTGTTGTAATATAAACTTTGTAATGCCAGTGCGGTAACGTTCTAAATATTCCATGTACAAATAATATCTTTTCTTTTATTTCTTTTTCCTTACACTCTTTTTTTTGTCAACTCCAAGAAGCTGCACTGAATTTTTACCTTGTTTTATCGTTAACTTTAGTTTGTGTGTAATCATACCTGTGTTTGGTTTTATTGTTCTCGAGTGTGTTGTTGGTGACAATTGAACATACTTTATTAATGACCGTATCTGGAACAAATGTAATTAAACATTAAAGCATACTGTATCGGAACAAAATACTAAGAACTTTTCTTATTCTTCTCGAACGCTAAACAGTTTTTGGAGCTTTAAGAGGCCAGCGTTGCCAAGCTCGTTAGACGTTATAGATATGTACTCACTTTTGGAATTCCCACTCTCGATTGTCGAGCGGACAAACTTGCCGAGTTTTCAACCAACGTGAAATGCAATGGAAATGGAATGCATGCTGCGCAAAGAGAAACGATCAAAATATTAAAATAGAGGAGTTGAAGCGTATCGCCTCGGCGATACCAAGCATGTATTGTAACAAAATATATAGACTTTGAATATGTACATTGCATACACCCCAAGCTACGGTACATTCTTCGCTAGTAGCTGATGCTTGATTTGCTTGACATTCGATACATAGATCCATAATATGATTACGACATATGGCACAATTGTCTACCACGATATCTGTAAAGGAAAAGAATCGTGTAATTGCTCCATTTCATAAATAATGGAGTAACATGAATGAATTGTACTCGGTTGAGAATTACGAAAATAATGCAAATTCTGTATACATACCCCATGCCCAAAGCGCCACAGCATTCCACTGAAAAGAAAAGTGACATAATATTAAAAGAACATGAAATATTAACCATGTGAGTGTAAGGTAAATGACAATGCAAGAATAAGGTTAGGAATTGATCAACAAAATTCTTATAATGCACGTAATTTGCACATATTTTACAGAAAATTTTCGGCTATTTTTCTCCTCACCTTTTTCACTTCGAAACGTTTCTTCTCTCCTTTGCTGCTACTCGAAGTTGGTAAATCACTTTCTTCATCATCAATTTCCATCAATGACGCCATATTTAAATTTTGAACGTTGCCAACTGACACCTTGTGTGGACAACACGAAACACGACGAACGATTCGCGGAAGAAAGTTTACGATGATTTACGACATAAACGACGTACGATTCCCAAGTTGTTTATCTTAACGTTTTGTGGGTGCACAGTACAACATGCTACATCAAAATTTCCACCTTGATCTAGTAATCCGAATTATATGGGAATCGAAGTAAAGGTAATACGAAAATATATTGTTATGCTGACGTGTTAATAAGAGGTTATATTATCAAAAGAAGGAGCAGTATTTGAACGAGTTTGACAATTACATCGACCATTTGAAAGTAGAATAAAGTATACTTTAACGACGTGTCAGTGTGACAGCTTGTATTACGTTCCGTAAACGTTAACGTGTTGTTAAATATACTTCACAATGAGGCGAAAAGCGGGCGTTGGTGCGATTCAAAAACAAAAGTTGGAGCAAGAGAAATATAAAGACAAGGGGACAGAGATTCAAGAAAATCAATTTGAGCAAATGACGAAGCAAATGGAAACATTTCGTGTTAATTTAGAGGAATTTGCAACGAAGCATAAAAATGAAATTAAAAAGAACGCGCGTTTTCGGCGACAATTTACTGAAATGTGCGCGTCGATAGGTGTTGACCCCCTAGCCTCGAACAAAGGTTTCTGGTCAGTACTTGGTATAGGAGATTTCTATTATGAGCTTGCCGTGCAAATAGTCGAAGTTTGCATGGCGACAAATTATAAAAATGGAGGATTAATATCATTGGACGAACTTAGAACAAGACTGATTCAAGCGAGAGGTCGTAGAAAGGAACACCAAGAAATAACAAACGAAGACTTATTAGCTGCAGCTAAAAAGCTGAAAATTTTTGGAAGCGGATTCTCTATTGTTCCAATCGGCAGGGGTAAGCATTTAGTACAATCTGTTCCCGGAGAACTTAGTATGGATCATACCGCTGTATTGCAACAAGCCAGTTTATCTGGTAATGCATACATTTCTAAATCTATACTATACAAAGATTTGCGCTGGGAACCAGACCGTGCTCAAAAAGCATTGGACCATATGGTAAAAGAAGGGTTGGCATGGTTGGATGAACAGGGTGACGACGAAATTTTGTATTGGTTTCCTAGTTTGTTTACAGCCTGTATTATATCCAAAGAATGAATAAATTTTCATTGTGCTGTTCAAAAAATAGGCAATATTTTAATCAATAAACAAAATATACGTGTAATGTAAAATGATTTTTTAATGTGAATAAATTGATATGCTCTCATAGTATTAATAAAATCAAGTTTTGACTGTAAAATTGTCCTAAATGAAAAACGATATTGTCATCTAATTTCGTTTGTTGCATTGAATCTAAAAAACAAATATTTATTGTTATTTAATAATCCACTCGTATTGTAACTTACTAATAATATACCTCTGTATATCTTGCAATGTGTGCTGGGCCAATTGTTGTTTGCAAGTTAACAATTCTGCGCTCAATTCATTATTTTCTTTTTGCAATGCACTTATTTTACCTCGCAGTTCTTTGGCTTTTCCTTGAAATTTCACTGTTAACGATTTAGCTTCGTCTCTCCATCTGCATTATCGATAAATATAAGTTAAAGTACCTGTTAATTTATATGAAAAAAAAACACTCATACTTTTTACTCAATTTCTGATGAACTTGAACATGATGGACCAACTCCTTTGTTTTCCTGTCGAACTTTTCTTGCAATTTATTCACATGATCTGATAATACTGCTTGACAACAATGACATTTATTTTGTACTCTATAACAGAGATATTATGTTTTACAAAAATGTTGAAATATTGAAGAATTAAATTTACTTACGTTATATCTAATGACCGTTTATTTTTTATGTCGTGCAGATAAGAATTCACTTCATCATTAAGATTATCTCTTAATTTGTTTTCTTTTACACAATTTGTTTTGTGAAGATTAACTTCTAATTCATGAATTTTATTTTCAAAAGAATGTCTTTCATTATCTCTTTTCCGTATCTCATGATCAAAATCATGTTTTAGAGTATTTAATTGTAAAATAAGATTCTCTTTATCGCCTAATGTTTTAGATAATTGGATTTCTAGATCCGAGTATTGTCTCAATATGTCTTTGTTATCACGATCGGTCTTCTTCATTTGATCTTCCACGTTAGTAGATTGGTGCCATTCTAACTTCTGTAATTTATCATTCGAACTGATCAGATTATTCTCAAGAGCAGCAATTTTGTCTTTTAACTGCTTAATTTCAATATCATACGTATTCTTGGCCATTGTCTCATTGTACACCTGCAATTGGAATTCCAAGCGCTTTGCTTTTTGCTCATAATCTAATAGCTTTTCATTCGAATCCCTACGTATCTTACACAGTTCTTCTTCAGTGAATTTAAGTTCTTTTTGAGTTTTTTCTAGCAATGCAATTTTTTCTTTTAATTCTGCTTTAATTTCTTTAATCTCAGTTAAATAAGTTTTTGTGCGTAATTCAATTTCATCTTGAGTCTTTTTATTTAATTCCTGTATTTTTGCATCGTATTCATTTGCTATTATTGCCAGTCTATGTTCCAGTCTCGATTTTTCTTCCGAAACAAGAGCTTCGCGATGAAGTACCAAATCTTTCTCCCTAACTGCTGATTCTATTAGCTCAATGGCTTCTGCCATTTTATTCTTTGTTTCTTTATCTTTCTCTACTATATTTTCAGCATATCTCTTGACTTCATTCAATTTCTTTTCCAGTTCTAATTTAGTTTGGGCTATCTTGTTAGATTCTGTTTTGGCATACGCTAACTCTCGTTTTAGCGTCTCTATCGTTATTTGATTATTCCTATCTTTGAAAACATAAAAATAACATTTCCATCTCTTATAAAACAAATAGATATATACTACTGACCTTTCTCTTGATATTCTGTTTGTAGATTATTATACTTTTCCAACAGTTCGTCCTTTTCCTTGGTTAAACCTTCGACTCTTTCTCTACTCGTTTGATAAAGCGTTTGATGTTTTATAAAATTGTCTTTAGCCTGCATAAGTTTCTCTTCTAACATTTTAATAGCTTCGGAATAGCTTTCTTTAATAGCATTTGCTTGCTCCCGGTAGTATTTTGTACCTTTCCCATTCGTACGAAGACCTTGCAATTCTTCCTCCAAGGCACTTACGGTATTTAATGAAATATGCCATAGCTGCAACGCTGAATCCTTTTCAGTCTCTAGTAATACAAGGCGCTCCTGCAAATTTGCTAATTCCTTTTTATGAGAGTCTTGGCTACCGCATTCTTCCGAATGAATACGGTTCAAGGACTCTTTTATATCGTGAACTTTTTGACTTTCATTTCGTAGAATTTCCAATTCATTCCTTATATTATTTTGTTCCACCTGTAAATTGATGTTATGCAAATAGTAATATTATATGATGTATACAAACGTATCTAAAAAGGAAAGGGTACCTTGCACAACTTTAAGTCCCGCTTAAGGTCCTCCACAGTGTCATGATGTTCCTTAAGTATGGCATCTGTGTCAATGCTGATAAAAAAAGAAAAAAAGAATTTATTTACCATAGTCTTGAAATAGAAACAAAAAGCCAAGTAACCTCGAAACGAACCTTGCTTTGAGATTTGGATCCTGCTCTATCTCTAACATTTTATTGCTACAAAAATGCTACACTTTGTACTGCTATCTTGATAAAAGGCGCATCGTGGTAAACATACTATTAGTTTAATTTATAGTTGACGTTCATGTCACATATTTCGGATAACGCATTCACTTGCAACGCGTAAACATCAACACTTCTGCTGTTATCGACAGATTCGTGCAAGTTCACGCGTGTGGGACAGAGGTCGCTAGCTACATCAAAATGTAAAAATTAATACGTTCGATAAAATCATATTTATTTGCCACATAACACAATATTTTACAAAGCAGTAGAATAATCATTGGACGTTTAGGAAACAACCAATTTATTAATTCTTATATAGCGCTTATAATAAATAATCGAGACCGTTTTACGATATAGAATGATCACAAATAATGATTATCTCTACTGCAAACATAGAAACACATAAGACAATAAACAAAAATAATTTTTGTAAGCGATACAAAAATATCGAAATTCCTGTTTCTGTAAATTTATTAAAAATCTGCCTCGTCGTAATCAATCGCAGTTCGTTCATAAAATCCGATAAATGAATTACACGCGTATGCTCGTATTAAGTAAAGATCCTTGAATCATTTCCAGTGTGAATTTTTCCTTAGCGCGCATCCCTGTTAAATTGTTCAAAGAATTCCGCAGTTGGTCCGTTCTTATAGAGAACTTTGTTGAGATACTCTTGATGAGATCTGTGTTCCTCGGCTAACTGCAAATTCTCCTCCGCGATTTTCCTATTTATCTCCCTGGAAAGCATTACATATTCTGAAGCGTGTCTTCGGGATTCCCGCGACGCGCATACTCGGCAAGAAAAAAAAAACACTCACGCCCTTTTCCGCTCCATTTCGCGGTGGTACGTGCTCGCGGCGACGGCGTGCGAATTCATCAACTGGTCCCATTCCTCGTTCATTCGCTTCTCCTCCAATTTCATTTTCTAGACGTGGAAGGGGATGAAAACAGAACTAAGTTTCCCTCGGGCCAGCCAAATTTTCCCCCCTTATTCAAGCCTCGTCAGGGTCGCGACCAAATGCTTTGGCATTGTTTCAAAACCTTTCGAGGTCGCCCGAGTGTATGTAGGCGAAACAACGGTTCCGCGGAAATTTTTACCTGGATTTCCAGCATCTGGCTGGCCTGGGCATCTCTGATAGCCCTAAGCTCCTCGGGACTCATACCCTTGTACCGTGAAGCCAGCGGCTTTTGCGGTCCGCGGGTGCTCTCCGCCTGCTCTTTGGCTTCGGTCAGGAAGTCCCCAGTCACGTGATTGTAGATTTCCGCTTTCTTGTCCTCTTCTTCTTGGAGGGCTTCGCAGCGACGGCGATGATCTTGCTCCTCCGCCTGCCCCGTCGTCCCAGGGAACAGAAAAGGAGGTTATGTATACATATTGGAACACCGCGTGCCGCCACGGTTCCCCGAACGTTTCGAGTTGGAATAAAAAAGTCAAGGGCGCAGCATCACAACCGTTGCGTTATTATCGAGGCCCGTGCACGCTGACGTCATCGAGTTTGTTCGACGATGACAGCAACCTTGTTCCCTGCTGAAAACGGTGCTCACCTTCAAGGAAAGTTTATGCGCGCGATGCGCAAAGGTACGCGGGCTTTTATTTACGATCCGGCAATCGGACGCCGCCATTGTGAATTACTAAAGTTAAGGAATGGCAGGAACACGTAGCTCGATGCCACAGAAGTTATATAGAGGCGTTATTCTTTGTATTGTGTTACCGCGAAGATGTATGCACTCGCTATTTTAACCCTTCTTTTTGGTCCACGTGATCCACACACACCGTGTATGTATATATTAGGTTTATATAATCTTTTTATTTACAAATTTAAGGATCCAATTCTGTAAATCAAGTGACTTGATATTTATTACTATACATATAATAACTTGTAACTATACAGGGTGGGGCATTTTAAACAGATCACCTGAATAACTCGCTTGTTTTTGAAGATAGGAGAAAATGCATTAGACCAAACTTACTTGGTATCGGGGGGCTCATAATCTGGTATTACCAATTTTTCTGTTGGTGGAGGCGTCAAGGAGATATGAAGGTCAATTCTGTTTTTCTAAATGCAACAGTAAGTTTTTTTACTTACATTCTGATAGAGTGTTTCGAGGCGAATACAATGAACTATTATGAAGGTCATTCAAGGTCACCCAAAGTGACACAGAAAAGCAAAGCTAAAGGACAGTAAAATGGCAAATAATCGCACAAATTTGTTTATAAATCTAATAAAAAAAATAATGTCATCTATTTACTCGTGTGCAATTTTTATCGTCATAATGTAAAAGCTAAGATCAAGTCCAATGCAACGACCACAACACTATGACAATATGACATTTAGTACGAAAAGTCCAGAAATATTTACGACATTTCTAATCCTTCGCTGAAACGTATAAATCTCTGAATTTTTCTTCAAATTATTTTCTAAAACAGATAATTTAAAATTACCAATAATGTTTGAGGATACAGATCAGCGTACAATGTGATCGAATGTTTGTTTATCTTTTGTGACCCGTGTCACGTAATACACACACGTGATACACAAGTATTCGAGAAGTACTCTGAGACAATTTATTTTCTCTTGCAGTTGACTTTGGGTGAACTTGAATGACCATCATAATAGTTCATTGTATTCGCCTCGAAACGCTCTATCAGAATGTAAGTAAAAAAAACTTACTGTTCCATTTAAAAACACAGAATTGACCTTCATATCTCCTTGACGCCTCCACCTACAGAAAAATTGGTAATACCAGATTATATGAGCCTCCCGATACCAAGTAAGTTTGGTCTAATGCATTTTCTCCTATCTTTAAAAACAAGCGAGTTATTCAGGTGACCTGTTTAAAATGCCCCACCCTGTATAACCTTTTTATTTACAAATTTAAGGATCCAATTCTATAAATCAATTTTTACTTTTTCTCGATATAGTAAGTAAGTGACTTGATATTTATTACTACATAGTAACTAGTAACTATATAGTAACTATAATTATAGTTATTATTACTATACAGGGTGTCCCAAAAATGTCTCGCAATCCGAAAATAGTGGGTTCCCGAGGTAATTTCAAGAGACTTTCTCCTTCGCGATAATGCAAACCGCGGCTTCGTTTACGAGTTATTAACGAAAACCGGTGAACCAATGAGAGACGAGCTCGGCTGGCGCGACGCGGCCCAGCCGACGAGCGCGCGAAGCCCAGTTCCGCCGATTGGCTCAGCCGTCTCGCGCCAACTGATCTCGCGTCTCATTGGTCACCGTTTTTCGTTAATAACTCGTTAACGGTGCCTCGGAGAACATTTTTGTAAAGGAAGAAGTTGCTTCAAATGATCCAAGGAATCCGCCATTTCTGGATTACAAGACATTTTTGGGAGACCCTGTATAATAACTAACATAGTAATTTGTTCGATTTAGCAACACGTTGTATCGTACCGCAATTCTCAAAGATATGTATATATTTTTTTAGTCTATGTGACTCGACTAGGCGATCGGTGTAAGCCTATTACGGGGACACCGTAGGAGGGTGAAAAAGATTAGACCGGATTAAACGCTAGTCGATGCGAGATCAAGAATTGGCACGTCCCTATCAGCAACCGGTTCAAGGTAATCGTTCGAAGAGCCTGGAAAACTGGCGGAGGACTCTCTCAAAGACTCGTCGACCTTTGCGAATCTGTGTTTGCTGTAAAACCTGAAACCGAGGATCCCGCCGGTGGAAAATCCGAGGAGGTGGTGACAGCAGAGCTGTGCATCGCGCCGTCATCGATGCAGAAAGCATATCGAGAACGATGGAATCACCGGCGCTGTTGAACCCTGACATTTCACGGCTGGTTGTCGGCCGGGAAAGCTAACGAGAGAGGACTTTAAATCAATTAATGCGACGGAAGACCGCCGCTGCCGCCGCGCCGAGCCGAGCCGAGCCGTTAATTATCTGAATTCTCACTTTCTCGCCGTCCGCAAATATCAATGATCCGCGTGTACGAGAATGGAACAGCTGGATCCTCGAATCGGGAGCAGGAACAAGGTTTCTCTCTCGCGCGGCCGGAAAATAGAATCGTCGGATAATGAAGATTCTTATCTGTCTCGCTGACGGTTCACCGGGTCGTTTTGTTTTCTTTGCCGTTTCTATGAAGGACTAAATAGGAGAAAGCCTTACCAGGGCTCGATTGAATCTTGCGGTGGCTTCGTTCAACCTTCGACGGCATTCACGTTCCATCTGATCTAATGCCGCGGCACGCTTGTCCCTGGAGATGACGGCTTCCTGGTACGCTTTCTCGGCTTCCCGGTGCTCTCTCTCGATCCTCACACGCTCCCCCTTTTGTTGTTCTATCCAGTATCTCGTCTCCTCTTTTTGGGCCCTCAACCGCTCCTTCGAGCCCTCCTCGCTCCGGAATCTGCATAGTCGATCGATCAAAACGTTTAACTTCGTTCCACTCTCTCGGTGACCATATACCGCGGCGCACGGTTAAATTTACATGAAATCGGAAGCCGGTATGTAAATACTCGCGTAACGGGCATCTTTTCCATCGTAAAAAAGTGACTAGTGCACCTGACGATGTCGGAAAATTGATGTCACCGGCGAAATCAGCGTAGTAAATTCTCTCTATTTGTTGCTCATAATGTAGATAAAAATGGAGAATCTCGGAAGAGGAGATAAGATTATTGCAATACGTTTTTATAGTTATATATATACAGGGTGGGGCATTTTAAACAGGTCACCTGAATAACTCGCTTGTTTTTAAAGATAGGAGAAAATGCATTAGACCAAACTTACTTGGTATCGGGAGGCTCATATAATCTGGTATTACCAATTTTTCTGTAGGTGGAGGCGTCAAGGAGATATGAAGGTCAATTCTGTTTTTTTAAATGGAACAGTAAGTTTTTTTACTTACATTCTGATAGAGTGTTTCGAGGCGAATACAATGAACTATTATGAAGGTCATTCAAGGTCACCCAAAGTGACACAGAAAAGCAAAGCTAAAGGACAGTAAAATGGCAAATAATCGCACAAATTTGTTTATAAATCTAATAAAAAAAATAATGTCATCTATTTACTCGTGTGCAATTTTTATCGTCATAATGTAAAAGCTAAGATCAAGTCCAATGCAACGACCACAACACTATGACCATATGACATTTAGTACGAAAAGTCCAGAAATATTTACGACATTTCTAATCCTTCGCTGAAACGTATAAATCTCTGAATTTTTCTTCAAATTATTTTCTAAAACAGATAATTTAAAATTACCAATAATGTTTGAGGATACAGATCAGCGTACAATGTGATCGAATGTTTGTTTATCTTTTGTGACCCGTGTCACGTAATACACACACGTGATACACAAGTATTCGAGAAGTACTCTGAGACAATTTATTTTCTCTTGCAGTTGACTTTGGGTGAACTTGAATGACCATCATAATAGTTCATTGTATTCGCCTCGAAACGCTCTATCAGAATGTAAGTAAAAAAAACTTACTGTTCCATTTAAAAACACAGAATTGACCTTCATATCTCCTTGACGCCTCCACCTACAGAAAAATTGGTAATACCAGATTATATGAGCCTCCCGATACCAAGTAAGTTTGGTCTAATGCATTTTCTCCTATCTTTAAAAACAAGCGAGTTATTCAGGTGACCTGTTTAAAATGCCCCACCCTGTATAACCTTTTTATTTACAAATTTAAGGATCCAATTCTATAAATCAATTTTTACTTTTTCTCGATATAGTAAGTAAGTGACTTGATATTTATTACTACATAGTAACTAGTAACTATATAGTAACTATAATTATAGTTATTATTACTATACAGGGTGTCCCAAAAATGTCTCGCAATCCGAAAATAGTGGGTTCCCGAGGTAATTTCAAGAGACTTTCTCCTTCGCGATAATGCAAACCGCGGCTTCGTTTACGAGTTATTAACGAAAACCGGTGAACCAATGAGAGACGAGCTCGGCTGGCGCGACGCGGCCCAGCCGACGAGCGCGCGAAGCCCAGTTCCGCCGATTGGCTCAGCCGTCTCGCGCCAACTGATCTCGCGTCTCATTGGTCACCGTTTTTCGTTAATAACTCGTTAACGGTGCCTCGGAGAACATTTTTGTAAAGGAAGAAGTTGCTTCAAATGATCCAAGGAATCCGCCATTTCTGGATTACAAGACATTTTTGGGAGACCCTGTATAATAACTAACATAGTAATTTGTTCGATTTAGCAACACGTTGTATCGTACCGCAATTCTCAAAGATATGTATATATTTTTTTAGTCTATGTGACTCGACTAGGCGATCGGTGTAAGCCTATTACGGGGACACCGTAGGAGGGTGAAAAAGATTAGACCGGATTAAACGCTAGTCGATGCGAGATCAAGAATTGGCACGTCCCTATCAGCAACCGGTTCAAGGTAATCGTTCGAAGAGCCTGGAAAACTGGCGGAGGACTCTCTCAAAGACTCGTCGACCTTTGCGAATCTGTGTTTGCTGTAAAACCTGAAACCGAGGATCCCGCCGGTGGAAAATCCGAGGAGGTGGTGACAGCAGAGCTGTGCATCGCGCCGTCATCGATGCAGAAAGCATATCGAGAACGATGGAATCACCGGCGCTGTTGAACCCTGACATTTCACGGCTGGTTGTCGGCCGGGAAAGCTAACGAGAGAGGACTTTAAATCAATTAATGCGACGGAAGACCGCCGCTGCCGCCGCGCCGAGCCGAGCCGAGCCGTTAATTATCTGAATTCTCACTTTCTCGCCGTCCGCAAATATCAATGATCCGCGTGTACGAGAATGGAACAGCTGGATCCTCGAATCGGGAGCAGGAACAAGGTTTCTCTCTCGCGCGGCCGGAAAATAGAATCGTCGGATAATGAAGATTCTTATCTGTCTCGCTGACGGTTCACCGGGTCGTTTTGTTTTCTTTGCCGTTTCTATGAAGGACTAAATAGGAGAAAGCCTTACCAGGGCTCGATTGAATCTTGCGGTGGCTTCGTTCAACCTTCGACGGCATTCACGTTCCATCTGATCTAATGCCGCGGCACGCTTGTCCCTGGAGATGACGGCTTCCTGGTACGCTTTCTCGGCTTCCCGGTGCTCTCTCTCGATCCTCACACGCTCCCCCTTTTGTTGTTCTATCCAGTATCTCGTCTCCTCTTTTTGGGCCCTCAACCGCTCCTTCGAGCCCTCCTCGCTCCGGAATCTGCATAGTCGATCGATCAAAACGTTTAACTTCGTTCCACTCTCTCGGTGACCATATACCGCGGCGCACGGTTAAATTTACATGAAATCGGAAGCCGGTATGTAAATACTCGCGTAACGGGCATCTTTTCCATCGTAAAAAAGTGACTAGTGCACCTGACGATGTCGGAAAATTGATGTCACCGGCGAAATCAGCGTAGTAAATTCTCTCTATTTGTTGCTCATAATGTAGATAAAAATGGAGAATCTCGGAAGAGGAGATAAGATTATTGCAATACGTTTTTATAGTTATATATATACAGGGTGGGGCATTTTAAACAGGTCACCTGAATAACTCGCTTGTTTTTAAAGATAGGAGAAAATGCATTAGACCAAACTTACTTGGTATCGGGAGGCTCATATAATCTGGTATTACCAATTTTTCTGTAGGTGGAGGCGTCAAGGAGATATGAAGGTCAATTCTGTGTTTTTAAATGGAACAGTAAGTTTTTTTTACTTACATTCTGATAGAGCGTTTCGAGGCGAATACAATGAACTATTATGATGGTCATTCAAGTTCACCCAAAGTCAACTGCAAGAGAAAATAAATTGTCTCAGAGTACTTCTCGAATACTTGTGTATCACGTGTGTGTATTACGTGACACGGGTCACAAAAGATAAACAAACATTCGATCACATTGTACGCTGATCTGTATCCTCAAACATTATTGGTAATTTTAAATTATCTGTTTTAGAAAATAATTTGAAGAAAAATTCAGAGATTTATACGTTTCAGCGAAGGATTAGAAATGTCGTAAATATTTCTGGACTTTTCGTACTAA